AAAAAAAAAATTATTCTGGTACGATAATTTTTTCGACCAATTTCCCTGCCACATACACCCATCCATACACGGACGTCCAGAAAAAATTATGTTAAATGTTATTATTTACTATGTTAAACAAAAAAATTGTTATTGAAATATATCTTATGTGCCTGACAAATTATTCGACTTGATATAAGTGTACTCATATTAACCTATAAGTGCGATATAAATAACAAAAAATCAATTTTAGTTTCGAGAAAACTGCTTTTTTTGAAATGTCGAGAATAGAGCACAACCTCAACGCTTCGCTTATGAGGCGTGCAAAAAGAATTAAAAGATTGAATAAAATTTTAAAGTTTGCGGTTGAGAAAAAAATTAACCGTCGTTAGGTCATTATAATAACAATATTAATATAAACGGATCGTCGTAGAAAGATAAATAGAAAGACAAATATTTTTGAAGGTCTATCTATTAATTTTTTCCTTTCGCTTCTATATAAGCTAAAGTGTGTACGTGACTATCAACACGCTAGCGAAAAAGATCAAATCCTGACTGTAATCACGTATTCCAGTCTTTTTTATTTCCTCGCGTGTTTACTGATTCGCACTTCCTTCTGCCTAAAATAATAATTACACCCATATAAATAAATTAATAAATAAATAAAAAACAACATGCAATAATTTAATACAATAAATAATGGCGAATACCGAGAAATAATTTAGTATTTAAATAAATTCTTTGTTAAAATTAATAACGCCCACTCCAAACTTAGTTATAAAAATAAATATGCTTATTCCGGGGAACAAAAAGCTTCAATATGTACTCGCTCTTTTGTTTTCTTTATTGAGCTTATTCGTAAATTTATCTTGTCTATTTTATTAAAACTTATCTATTATTTAGCATTATTCTTCATTTTCTAGACTCAATTGTGTAATATATAATTACACTGTTTTACTTTCTAGTAGAATTTTTAAATAAAACGATAAGATACTGCATAATCGCTCGAGTAATTCTCAGTAGAAGTTGTAAATATTTTTATTTGCATATTGCTAGAACTATTTAAAAAAATTTTTATGGGATTTTTATCTGAAAAAAAAAATAAAAAATAAAATTATATTAAAAAATAATCAGACTTAAAAAAATGTAATTACTTTATCAAACTGCGTTATAAAAATTAATTGCATTTATCGAGGTAAATAAAAATAATGCATGTCTAAGACAACATAAATACGTCGCAAAAGATGTTTTGTTTACACATACACAGTATTGGCGGGGAAGCCACGCGAAATGGCGGTGATAGTTTGACAGCTGGATTACTTTTTATTTTAACAGTCTAATATTTTATTTATTACTCTGAAATTTCAACAATAAATCCTTCAATTTAAAAATTATAATTATGTACATTTTAGGTAATAGAATGCTTACCACCGAGACTTTCGTCCAGCGTGTATTTTGATGTAGACATTTCGTCCCACCTTTTTTAACAAACTTCACTCACTGACACTGCTCGTTTGCTTGAAAAATAATATTTTTTCTATTCTACAAGCTCAAAATAATTTTTAAAAATTTTAATATTAAAGAATTTAATAAAGTACTTATTTAGTACTGAAGAGGTTTTTCGAGTATGGCGAAGAGGACGACGCACTTGGGTCGGATTGTTGTGATAAAGTGCGGGCTTGTGATGCCTGCTGTTAAATGTTACCGACCTGCCGGATAGTGCTTTGTTTTTAACAAAACGTCAACAGATTCTCGTGTCAGATGGAATTCCACCAATCGGTACGCATGTATATTTTTAGACGTAAATACTGAGTACTGTGCTAGTCAAATCAAGTACTTGTGATTATTATTATTCATTATTATGTTTAAAATAATAATAATAAAAATTTGTTTTTATTGTTTTAATACCAACTTAAATTTTTTTTTTTTTAATAAAAAAAATTGATATTTTTTTATCACAGTTGTTTTTTGTAAAAAATTAAAATTAAAAATATTAATTGTACTTATAAATTTTTTTTTCAAAAAATTTAATAAATTAAAAATGTAAGAAAATTTTTTTTTTTTTAAGTTTTGATCTGTCAAAAATTAATTATTTAATTGTTTATTTTTTTTACAGAAAAAAAAATTGACATTTAAAAATTTTAAAATTTCCGCGCTTTTATGCGACTGCGCAAGTCAAAAATCTAAAACGTAAAACGTCAAAATAAAAAAAAAACAAACCCCTTAGAAACACAATTGAAGTTTTTAAAAATAAATCAATAGTAATTAAAAATTCATAAATTATTTCCATTAAGTGAAAATTGATAATTTGTTAAACAAAGAAGTGCTTTGCGTTGAGGTGGTATCACTGATTAATAAAAAAAAAACATAATAACAATTTACAATAAAGACATACAAAGTGCAAGTAAAAAGTACATACTACATACGTCAACTCGGAAAATAAAATTGTCTGGCTGTTTCTTGGCTATTAAAAAATCAGTGTAATAAATTACATCAAGCAGATTTTATTGTTGTTATTATTTATTGTAAGTATTTACATTTAAATTAATTTATAATTGTGATTACTTTCAGTTTTAGATAATAATCTACCGTATTAATATTATTTTCATTTTTCTGTGTCATTGTAATTGTTGAGAAGATAATGAAGCGTCGAACTTGCGTGGGTATTGACAAAACAGCAGCGAAATAATTTACAATGAAATGTCATAAGTAAATTTCAGTTTGTCATTTAGATAACTAGGTTTTTTTTTTTTTTTATTGAATACTTTATCTAAATTATAAGTATTTGTGTAAATATATTGAGTTTCGATAATTTACGCCTAAATTTAAGGTAATGCGAGTAAGTGAGACAGGTAGTTAATATATAATCTTAAAAAAAATATTTTTAAAAAATAACCTTTCAAAGTTTGAGATTTTAATTGGTTAATATTTATTTAAAAAATTATTATAAATATATTTGTAATTTTTATTGTAATAGTAATTGTGATTTAGTATTTTGTAGACTTAATCTCAAGGTGACTCGGTTACAATGACACCAAGGCTGTGTTTTTAAAATACTGACCTTGCTTTCTTTTTAAAAATCATCGCTTAAATATAATTGTACTTATCGCGTGTATTGTGAATTTAATCACGTTATTTTTCAATACGTGATTGAATAATTTTTTACTGATAATGTAATGTAATGTTCATGATAGTATAAATTTTAAATATTTCTTCATATTTACTTATTTACTGATATTAAATTTATTTTTAGTGAATAAAGTCAGCTGGCATGAAGATGAAGATTCCAAATAGCGGCTCCGGTAACGGATATTATGGGCATGAAAGTGGTGTCATTTCTTATTTGGATCATGTTGAACAAGAAATAGATCCACCTGCTGGTGAAAACGGGGATTTTGCTGAGTATTTATGGATGGAAAATGAAGAAGAGTTTGATAAGCAGGTAATTTTTATTCTGAAATTTATAAAAAAAAAAAAAGACCATTTGGCAGCCGAAATGGAAGTAGATTTCATAATGAATAGAAAAAAAAACTACTAGGATTGTATGAAAAAAAAATTAAAAAACCAGTGCAATAGCAAATTTCATAATTGGCATAGTGGAATAGGATCTAATTTTTAGACTACACATATGATATGATACTTAAATTGAAGCTTATTTAAAGAGCTTTCAGATGAAATCTACAGAGATTCAATAAATTATCCATTTAAAAGTTATTCGAGTAAGAAAGTGAAGAAATATGAATTTTTAAGATTTTAAAAATTTTGAAATCCTGGAATTTCTAAATTACTTGACCGATTAAGCTCATCTTCGAACTTGACTTCGGTATTTATCTGTAGAAGAAGTATGTTGAGTTTGGTGGAGATCCGTTGCTAATTGTAGACAGTTAATTGTTGCCAATTATCGTCCTGACAAATCGCGTTATATCCCGTATATATATTTAGGCTGTACCAAAATTCAACTTCCGTGATGGACCTCTTAAAATTGGAATTTTGAGTTCCGATTTTAACAGGAGTTGTTTTTGAGCATTTCCTGATATATTTTGAGCGTAAGGGATTTATTTGATTTTCATATAATTTTTTATCAGGAGTTTTGCTTGATCAAATTTTGAAATTTTGAAATTTCAGCAAAAAATGCCTAAACAAAACTCCTGTTAAAAAATTATATGATAATCAAATAAATCCCTTACGCTCAAAATTTGTCAGTAAATGCCTAAACACAATTCCTTTTAAAAGCGGAACTAAAAATTCTAATTTTTACAGGGGTCTGTTTTTTTTATCAAATTGAAAAAAATCAAGCAAACTATTTCAATGCATTCAACTTTTCAAGTTCTCAATAAATATTTACATTAATTAGAATAATATTAAGACTTATGGATCCAATTTTATAAATAAATTATAAATAAAAATAGTTGTCAGGGGGGACTGAGTATCTTGTAGCCCAGACACATGTTTCCAACACAAACGGTGTTTTGACACTAAATAAAATGATGATAAAGCGCTAACAGTCCTATGGTTATTGACTCAAGGCTAGTGAGGTTCTTATAAACCTTCCAGAACATAAAATAGCACGCTGGAGTTTTTTTTTGGCTTTGAACTTCTGGCAGGGGACTGTTTTTAAAATGCCTGGGACAAACTTTGGTTTAATGAATTTAATGATACAAATTAATTTTCGGTACTTTTTATTGAAGAAGATTGTTAGTTAACTAATCAAGTTTATAAACATTATGGACAAAATTATATATTATGGATGAATAACTTAAAATGTACTCTTAAAGTTTCAATTTTGGGATAGGTAGAGCCCAGGGGACTGTTATTTCGATGGTTTACGAATTTATAGCAAAAAATTCAAAATTTATTTCATTTTAGTTTTCAATGCTCCAAATAAAAATGTTTTTTTACTTTCGTGACAAATTTTTTTCAGTAACAAAATAATTTTTCTATTAAAAAAATGCCCGGGACCGCAAAAAACATCCTTACAGAGAATAACCCAAATACATACATATATAAACTTTTGAACCATATGTATTTTCTGACCTTATGTTTATCAGTTTGATAAACTAAGTCGAAATATGTCAAAATTTTTCAAAAGTTCCGTCATGAGGACCCATGCAATATAATAGTTAAATTTTTATGAAATCTACTAAATATAAACCGGTTTAAAATTATTAAATCGGATAATTTTTTTTAAATTATTAAATTATTAAATTATTAATAATAATTTATATAAAAAATAATAAAGTTTTAAATTGAACTATTAAGTAATATATTTCTTTAATAACTCCAATAAGAGCGAGTTCACAAGTAATAATTATCGTACTCTTAAAATAAACGAGAGCAATTTGATAATTTATCAAGCAGATATTTTTATTTGTTATTTATTTTTATCTCTGAAACATAATAGTTTTTTTTTTTATTATTAAACATTTATATAAAAAGAATAACTCAAAATAATTTATTAAAAAATTATATCGGTTCTCTGTAATTTAATATAATCATGTATTTATAGGTGTTGGAGCAATTGGAAGAAGAAGAGTTGATGGAGGAATGCCTAGAGGCGATGCTGGAGGAGGAGAGACAGCACCAGAGAAATCAGGTATCCTCTAATTGGTGTAATGTTACAACGGAAACTGTCAGTGGTAATGAATTGTGCCAGCAATTGAGTAGCCTCAGAGTCCACAATGATCTCGCGAAATCGGTAAGGATTTTTTTAATTAATCTGATTAGATATCTTAGTCGAGTTATTTTTAATTTCATTAAATTAAAGTCAAACGATAAGATTATAAAATTAAAAAAGAAAATTTTTTTTTTTTAGTCAACATTAAATCCGGATGCTGAAGAATTTGTTCCTTCTTTTAATGTAGTGACAGTAAGTACAACGGAAATATCAAGTGAATCGTCATAAAAACTTATATATATCTCTGCGATGCGTGTTATTTAATGAGCTAATTATTGACGATAAATCTTACGGGCAAATGGGATTATTTTGATGACATGGTTAAATAATTAATTGAAAAGTGAAAAAATGAATAAAATTTGAGCTCATAAATTTTTAAACACGCTAAAAAGTACAATGAATAAAAAATAAAATAATGATAATGATAAATAAAAATAAAAGTAATTTAATAGCCATCAGCCCTCCAATGACGACCACATGCGTATTTTAATTATTCCGAATTTTATATTTTTGGCGTTTTACTCACGCCTTTATGCAATTTGCGGCATATAAAATAATTATTTGCTTCTTATTCTATATTATTCAGAAACAAAAAGAAAAAAAAAAAATTATAAAAAGTTAATACAAAAAAAAGAAAAAAAAATAAAATTACAATTATAACAATAACAATAACAATAATCAATAAATAAATCTTTCATTAACGTACTTAAAGATAATCACATATTGGAAAAAGATAAATATGGTATTAAGTTGGATAAATAATGCACTCAATCAATAACAACCAAACAGTAAGAAAAAAAATTAAAATACTATGTTCGGAATTTTTTTTTGTTTTTTTAAATTAAAATTTAAAAGGCACTGAAGCAATTTATTTACCTATTTAAAAGATCTCATAGCTTGCGAGGGCTGCGAGATCTCATTCATTGATGTAGAATCCTTAAAATAATTATTTAAATTTTGAGATTGTTTATTTAAATTTTATATTTTTTGAATTTAAATTTAGTAGTCTTCCGTCTAATCTAATTTTAATCTTTTATGTCTGTTGTCAATTGTATAAATACAATCATGATAATAATTAAAGAAAAAAAAAGTAAAGCAGTAAGCAAATTAAATAAAACTAAAATTTGATTAAAGTCTTGACACTTAGCATGTTAACATACTCTTACATTGTATAAAGTATTTGTTTTTATTGTAACGTTTATAAATAACCGATGTATTTTATTAATTACACCGGTGTCTAAGCTCATAAATTTACATTTTATCAAATACATCGTTTAATTATCTACGTTTATATTTTAATTATAACTTTTAGTGCTGAGGTAATTGTTATTGAATTGATAAATTTTTTAAAATTTTTCTAGCATTACTTATAGATAAATTTTGTTTAAAACTATTATATAAGTATAAATGGGAAAAATTACATTTTTTTTTAATCAGATAATTATTTGGGATATTTTTGGTAAATATTAATTGTGAATTATTAAATTAACTAGTTTAATTATTATATTAGAAATATTAGAAAAAAAATTTTTTATCCACAAATATACTCAATAATTGTCTGAAAAAAATAAAAAGGTTTAGGGTTTGCATGATTTAACTTCTTTAACTAAAATATTTTATAAACATAAGCCGCATTATAACTCTATTTGTATTGGTAAATGAGCATTTGTGATGGGAATCACTCTTATTGTTTTTTTACCTAGTGTTTACTACATTAGCTTAGGTAAAAAAATAAAAAAAAAAATATTAAATAATTATTTAAAAAGCAAAAAATCTTGATTTATTTAAACCTTTCTATTCCTTGTTTATTTAAAAAGAAATCTTATAGATTTTATTAAAAAGTTTATTGATCTACAGTGTTTACAACACATTGGATAATTTATGAAAAAAAAAAAAAATACCACAAATTATATAATCAATTCGAAGACTAATTTTTTTGAAAAAAAAGTATAATTATTCATAAATAATTAGTGTTACTCTAACTTATAATTAATACGTATTTATATTAATTTTTGTATCAGATACGAGTGTATTAAAAGTGCAGTTATATTTTATTAAAACTTATAAATAATAATGGAAGTTTATTGGTAATTTAACAGGAGTTTTATAACTTACATCGAGTAATATAAAATTAATAAACTAAAAAATGGTAGCGTACAAAAAGTTTTAATTGTACCAGTAGTGAGGTTTGGTCTTTTTGCAATTACTCAATAGAATAAAGAAACCCTTGTGATATGTTGTTGGTCTTTAGTTCCACAAGTAATTTGTAAAAACTGGTAGAAAATTCGTACAAACCACCGAGGCCTTTGATTACTTTAGTTTATTAATTTATAACATACTTTATTTATGACAATTATTCACTAATTTAAAAAACTTAAATTTAGTTTATAAAAAAAAATTTTATATAAATGTTTAATGTACCTGCCGTACATTATTTTGAATACTTTAACAGTCTCGTTAGCTTCTGATTCAATTGGTTAATTTTTAAATTATCAATTATTGAGCTTTTAATTTTAGTTGTCTTTTGAAATCCTAAATGTTAAAAAACAGTACATAATTTTTTGTAACTTATTTAATACAAAAAAAAATTTCAATTTGATCAGATTGCTTGAAAATTTTGTCAATAAAAAATAACTGTTAATTGCTGTTATTTATTTTTATAAATATCCGTAGACAAAATACTAACTATCAATACGATAAATAATTAAAAATAATAAATCATTGGTATGTACTTAAATAAAGAGAAAAACTCCCCGATACAACCATGTAAATAATTATAAAAGTGTAAAGACAATAGTCTGTAAAAATTGTCTCAACATGATTCAAAGACTTTTAATTATTTAATTGTTAATTATTATTTTTTTACGTGTATTATTTTTTTATATTCTCTAATAATTCATTTAATCATATATATTATTATTGTTATGTTGTTAATTATTTTATACAGTATCCGTCGGACTTTGGAATTCCGATAGTGCGTGAATTGGATTCTGTACTTTCTTCTGCGAGCCCTTTCGTACTTTAGCTCTTACTTCTTCAGGCCGTTCTGGACGTACTAGTGGTTTTTTCTCCGGTGCTTTCATTTTCCAGACAACTATTGGTGACTGAAAAAAATCAATAAAATAATTAGTATTCAAGTATAAATATTGAAAAAAAAAAAAAAAAAATCAATTATATATTTATTTTTAATAAATAGCAGCTATTTGACATACTTACATACTAATTATCCAAGAAAGTCAGTTTAAAAAAATATATTTATTTAGTATTTATAATTCAAGGACAATATAATAAAATAGTTCTATATTTTTAATCACATAATAATGTAAAGTACCCAGTACTTGAACACTTATAAAAATGGGACCAGTACTTGAACAGACTTTTCGAATTTTGTATATTTATTATCAGTAATATACGCATGTTATAATTATTTTCAATGTTACAGTAAATGGTTTTTGTAAGTTTTTTTAACTAGAAATCAGAATAATTATATTTTTGTTAACTTAAAAATTGACATGTTTAGAATAGCCGATAGATGCTATTTTTTTCATGAAAAAGGTACTAAATAAATAGTAAACCGAACAAAAATCAGCAAAAAAAAAAGGTACATCATCATTTTAAGTAAAGAAAATTGTACCACTCAATGAAGTAGTCTTTTCTAAATAATACATATTTTTTGCAAAGACATAAACTATAATTTTTATATTAAATTTTAGCGTCTAATTATATCTCAAAATTTTCAAAGCGGTACCCAAAACTTGAACAAGTTGGGGCCGTATAATTTCAATAGCACTCTAATTTCTAATAGGTTTATAGACTAGTGATCAGCAGTGTGATTTGTATTAATTACAGCAAATTAAATAAGTTTTATAGCTAAAAATTAGTCTAGTTAAAAATTATTGAACGTTCTAAATGGAGTTTTTTTTTATAATTAAAAATTTACTTTGTTATATATAAAAAAATGTAATTAAAAAATTAAATACAAATATTTCTCATTTAAATGAACATTAAATACTCATAGTATTATTTTTAATATTAATCAATAATATGTTATAATATTCTTGATATTTCAATAAAACGTTAAAAATTTTTGCTGTGCCTATAGCCATATATTTTATTAGTTCAACTATTGCTCCCGGAGTGTTCTACGACTGCGGCTTATCAGAATTGATTATTCAACTACTCCTTTCATAGTCTGTATTAAAAACTTTGTCAAAATATAAATATTCAATTATCTGCGTTACTTTGCGCTTCAATCAATTCAAAATTGTTTATAACTTCATGAAAATCACTAATTTGAAATAAAATTACATCTTTATATACAGTGGACTTTCGATAACTCGAACTTCAAGGAAAGTGATAAAAACTTCGAGTTAATGAGTTTTCGACTTAACAAGATGTTCAAAATTTGCAAGTAGATCAAAAAAATTAAGAAAACAGTTTTGATTTTCAAGAAAATACCTTAGGGAAAAAATATACATTACAAACAAGAATATAAGAAGAATTGAAAATTTCTATAGGAATTCAAATTTGATTGCTGTAAGCTTGGACAGTTTGGAAAAAAACGTCTTTATTAGGGTGGCGCAAAAAAACCGACTATTTTTTTTTTTTAGTCTCGAGTGAAAAAATGTTAGTTTTTGATGTTTTAACAGCCCTCACCAAAGGACAACTCAAAAAAAAATTTTTAAGAGGTCACTCCAAATTTTTCAAAATTTCAAAAATCGTCAAAAATTGAATTTTTTTTTTTTTTTTAATTTTTTTTCTCGTTACGATATAATCTAATAGACTAAAAAAAAATAAGTTTCTGAAAATTTCAGTTCAAAATTCGAATTTTGAAAGGTCGCTCATAATTTTTTTCAATTTATTAGTGCATTAGTTTAGATTTTTTCGAGCGACTTTTTACTATTCAAATTAAAATTCCATACATTTTTTTTTTTTTATTTCGTACAATAATCGATAAGAATACATCTCGAGATGAACTAAAAATCAAGCACAGCATAGAAAATATAATTTTTTTTTAATTTCATAATTTTATTTAATCAACTGCCAGGGGTGAGTTCGAATCCCAAGCTGGTCTTGGAAACCAGCTTGGTTGAGATTTGACTTTGCCGCGTTTGTTAAGATTTTTTCAAACCAAAAAGTCGGCGATATGAGTAATTCACGAAAAATAAAAAAAATTATGAGCGACCTTTCAGAATTTAAATTTTGAACTGAAACTTTCAGAAACTTATTTTTTTTTAGTCTATAAAATTATACCGTAACGAGAAAAAAAAATTAAAAAAAAAAAAAAATTCGATTTTTGACGATTTTTGAAATTTTGAAAAATTTGGAGTGACCTCTTAAAAATTTTTTTTTGAGCTGTCCTTTGGTGAGGGCTCTTAAAACATCAAAAACTAACATTTTTTCACTCGAGACTAAAAAAAAAAAAAATAGTCGGTTTTTTTGCGCCACCCTAGTCTTTATATTTTACTAACTTCGACTAACAGAGTATCACTTTTAAAATTCGAGTTATAGAGTATAAATATCCTTTATCGATTCTGGAAGGGAAACGATACTAAGTTCTAGTTACATAGTCTAAATAATTCGAGATATAGTGTATTTAAGAGTTCAGCGGAAGGGAATATAAATTTTTTTCGAGTTACTGAGGATTTCGACTTAACAAGTTTCGAGTTACCGAGAATCTACTGTTATTAAAAGTAGGATCAAATACGTTTTACTTTGAAACCTGTTCAATTACTAGGTACTTTACCTTAACCTCTATTTTAATTTATTTACTATCAACAATAATCCTAATATTTAAAATAAAAAAATAAATACTTACAGTGACATTAGACTGCCTAGGATATTTAGTAGACGCAACATACGAAGCCTTGACAGTAAGAACCACAGCATTCATCAAGTTCTTAGCAGCTTGAATAAGCGACGTAGCGCTGTCCAGCCCAGAAACAATAAGCTCTCCACTAATATTCTGAACATCAGCCTTAACTTTACTAGTAATATTCATCTGATGACAATAAAGCGCGATTCTCTGCAAGTAAGCAAGCAAGTCCTTCTTGGTGGAGCTCTCAGGACACTGGTCAGCAATTTGTCTGGTCAATTTGTCCAACTTGGTACCAGCCTCAGAAATTTTCTTAGCCGCAGTGATGACGTCCATAGTAGTCTTCAAAGGACCACGACCTCGCGTGAAATCCGTCATCTCCATCATAATCATGCACATGTGCTTAGCAAGCACAATAATGTCATTACCAGCGTCATCCCACTTGGCAACTTCCTTGTCAAATTTAAGCTTTTCGCTCCTAAAGTACTCGACCTGCTGCAGAATCTTCTGCTTGTCTTCCTCGGGCATTTTGCGCATAGCTTCGCGAGCTGTGGTAATACCACTGATCTCTGGGTATTCATCAACACCGTGTTCTCCAGTCTGAGCACTGGATTTACTGCGAGTCTCCAGGGTGTAGTGTTCGTCCAGTTCGACGTCCTCCGGGTCGAGATCTTCGTCAGCACGATTCATCAAAACAGCTCGCCTGATTTCTCTGACCCCGTCGTAAACGAGTCTTGATGCATCAATGAAGTCATTCTCGTCGACGTCCTTTGCAGGGATGCTGCTCAGCGCGTCTACGGCTATCTCAACTCTCTGGGCGAATTTAGGCATCACTTGCTCCCGTAAAACTTTAACAGCTTCCAAGACACGCTTGGTGTAAATGCAAGGCTCGTAATTGTCCATTTCTGCCTGGACCACATTGCAAACTCTCGCTGATCGACCGCGAATCGCTCCAGCAGTGCGATCCAAAGTGTCAGCGTCGCCTTCTTGGAGTGCAAGAACGCACTTGTTGACATCTTCGAGGATATGGTTCTCTGAAACCGCAAGGAAGTCGTCGATTGTGGTAATGTCATCGACTGCTTCGGTGAGAACTCGGACCTGGTTCTCCCAAGCTTGTCTAAAAACTTCCATGTTGTCCAGCGCGACTCTAGACTGCGGACGTGCTGCCAGCACACGTGCCGCGTTTATTACTTGCGGACAGAGATTTTCAATCTGCGCTGCGGCGTACCGGACCATTTTAACGCCGTCTTCGTTTCCAGACATACTGCAAACTAAATTCGCGACTTCTACCAGCTTGTTTGCGTGCTCGGTGAATACCAGAGCGTACTCCTCGACTTCCTTGTCTCTGCCATTGCGAGCAGCTTCTATCAGGACCAACAGTGGGACGTTGGTCTCCAGAAAACTGTCAGACACGTGGTCCACCACTGCTTTGCGGAGTTGACGACGGAGATCTCGAGTTTTACGACACATGTGATCTATAGCACGCTCCAGGCCTTCTGACTGCTCCTTTACGCCCATCTGTTGGTTATTATTTAATTGGATTAGTTGAATTGTTGAAATAAAAATAATAAATAAAACGTAAAATTTAAAAATGAAAATTTTTAAAACAAATGTCTACTAATCATGGTTCACTCGACAAATGTGCTAGTGTTAATTTTAAAGCAATTTATATCTAATGTAAATAAACACACCAATAGTCCAATTTATTGTGAATAATTGGATAATAATTTAAGGACTAGTGAAGCATTTATTGCACATATGGATGATAAAGTGAAAATTATTGACATTCTAATTATTAATAAAAATCACATGTGGATTGTATTTAATACAAGTACTGGTGCGACGGCGTGGCATTTTTATTGTTTTTTTTTTTTTTTTAAATTGTATCTATAAAAAATTATTAGTCATTTCACTTGGTTACAAAGCTGTTGGCAATGAAATCTCACGTGTCACAAACAACCAACACACTTAGGACGGAATATTTACCCGCTTCCGTCGACGTGCTAGCTGTAACTGATCATCGCCAAAAAACATAAGGACAAAAGTAAAATAGATTTATAATCATCGTTCTAAAGCTGTTGGTAAATAATTAGTTAATTATAATTATAATTTATAATATTAATTTCTTAAATATGTAATTTTTATTCCAAGTATGGTCCATATTCTTCCTAGAATGAATTTAAATATTTTTAAGGAGGTCCTTTCGCCATCAATGAAAAATATTAGATTATGCATAAAATTAATTTTTATCTAATAGTTAAAGTCCTTATTTATCTACTAGTGAAGTTTAATTTATTCTTCACCGTGCAAATTTTTGAAAAAAAAAAAAAAATTTCTAAAAATGTTAGTATTCAGGTTTCATTTTTTGCAATAAAATGTATAGGTTGCCATGGAATTTATGGAGAAATTGAAATTATAAAATCACAGAAAATTTTCAAGTAACCTATTGGGAAACTGAGGATTTAAATACGCCGCCTGGTGGTTTAAATTCAAACTAGCGATTGTAGGATAGAATCATGTTTAACACAATGTTAATATCAATAAAATAGCAAAATACAGTGTAATTTTTATTAAAAAAAAAAATAAGCAATACAAAAAGTGAATTTCGTAATCATACATTTATAAAAAATTAATATACGTACATCAATATAATTATAAAAATGGAATTTTCTCCACATAAAAATAAAGAATTGATGATGTAAACTATTTACAAAAAAAAAAAAATCATTTCGGAGTCAAATATAAAATTGATGATGTAAACTATTTACAAAAAAAAACATCAATAAAAAAATTAATTAAAATTAAAATTATTTAAAAATGGTTTGCTAAAGCTGATGAAGAATTTTCTTCCACCATTATTTTAAGAAATTCTTCATATTCTGCTTCATCTAATTCAGATAAACCCATGCTTAAACATACTGGAGGATCAGTAGCAGCTTCTTTTGGAGTGACGTATTTGCCTTAGAGTGATCTAATAGATTTCTTCATTTTAACTTTATCTTCACCTTTTTTTTG